TAGGCATTACTCTGCGAGCAAAATATGATGCGTTGTCAGCCTAGTGAATTTCTTATTACAACTCGATTGTGTCAGTGCGTGAGCGCGCAATCAGCGACCCCGCAATTGAATTTATGTCATTGGCAGATAGTCATTCACCATCAATTATTCAACTCCGCTTTCATATTTACTACCAATGAAACTCTCTCCATAAGTGCAATACGATGCCGTTATCAAAGTATGAATGTAGATGATTTTCGGTTTCATTTTATGATGCCATTGCAGAGACTGCGCGTAGCCGCTGAGTCAGCGCGTAGTCATTTGATCACGAGTCAAAGTCAATGTAATTACAGATGGTCGTCTGAATCAATTACTTGGCAAAATTCATCACGCCATATATCGCTCGAAAGAACTTTATGAGTGTTAAGTGAAACTTTCGTCACTGAATCAGTCTTCATGACCGATTATCCTTCCGAGATGCGGAGACAGACGTGTCGGATAGGGCGGCCAAAGTTCCCGATTCTGTATCAACATTTGAGATTCGGCAGGATATAACTCAAGTCTGGAGCAAAGCCCCCTCCCCAATAAACTAGCTCCAGGCAATTCCTGGACGTCCCTCGGGTCTCCTGATGGGCCGACTGGGCGAGTGCAGCTGTTTTACCCGCCGTGATGGAAGTTTTCGAAGTAGTACCCAAGCCCTCGTAGCTGTTACTTCTCCATCTACAAAAACAGCTGCTGAGCACCAAGGCTCCCTCGAAAATCTGAGCTCGGAAACATTTCGAGAAGCGTCAGGCCAGTGATTTGCCTCAAAAAGTCAATCAGACCGCTCGATGCTTTTCAGTCACTCATCATCATAAGTGAGCATCGAGATGAAAATCGACTAGAATCTTCAGATACACCTTTGCTTTAGTCGCAACGATTAGAACCAGTTGACGCAGGACGCCACTCACCATTTCATTCCGACGGTCGATCTGCTTCTCAAACTTTCCATCATCAGTAAACACGACCCCGAGGTAGTTGAACTTCTATACCTGCTACACTGTTCCTCCTTTTATCTGAAGAGATTAAAGGGGAGGAGATCGAGAAAGCACTAGTCCGTTCGTTTTAGTTAAGTTCATATGCATGCCGGTCACGTCGCATTTGGCTGCGAACCTTTCTAGGGAGCACAACAGGTCAGTTTCAGAAGATGCCAATAAAACAAGGTCATCTGCAAACAGGAACCTTCTCGCCTTCACATCTCCTACAACGATACACTCATGGCGGAGACCAATGCCAACGTTGAAGGGTTTCGACTTAACGCCATTTACTCTGATACAACACCTGTTATCAGCATAGAGTGGATGGTTCGTAGTAACTGGCCATCGATCTCATATGTTCGTAGGCATGCCTATAGACTATTACGCGGATTCCGGCCATAGGCATTATCCACGTCAACAAAGCACATGTATACCGGAT